TCACCACCACCACCACCACCACCACCTGTAGCAGCCGGTACACAGTACGGCTCTACAAATACGCGCGAAGCGCAACCACCGGCTCTCGAGAGGCCTTTTCAGCGGCCAGCTACTACACCACCGCCAAGACAAAATAGACCATAATTCAAAACGCGAAAGGGCAAAAGATATCAACGAATTCCGCATACTACTAACAAAGGCATCAGGAGAAGCAGGGAAACGTTGACAGGGTGCTGTTGTGCTTGTTTATGTGTGTATGTGTGTCAACCTGTACGGTACGGTACCTCCCCGTCTGTCTGTCTGTCTATATCCGTCCCGCGCGCATCTCCCTGCGTTACCCCATGCCGCCCACTCTATACCCCCTCTCCTTTCCAGGCAGAAGGCTGACCCATGGGCCACTCCTCCCCCCCCCCCAAACACACATACATACACACACACCTTCGCCACCAGCACCAGGGCCACCAGGGCCATAAGGCCCATCACGGCGAAGGGAAGTCGCTCGAAGCGACCTGGAAGACGCAGCATCAGCACCACTGGGGTGACCAAACCACCCAGGTCACCAGACTGCCGTACAGGGGGAAGGGGGAAGTCGGGGGGGGAGGGGGAAGTCGGTCTGGGTATGTATGTATGTATGTATGTATGTATGTATGTATGTATGTATGTATGTATGTATGTATGTATGTATGTATGTATGTATGTATGTATGTATGTATGTATGTATGTATGTATGTATGTATGTGTTGTTTAACGCTCCGAGTGTCGCGATGCGGAAAGAAAGCCGAAGCGGGCTCCCGAACAACCCCTCGGCGGCGAGACTTGACATGCTAGGAACCCCCCCAAGGAAATTGAAGACGTCGCTGGTATTACGAAAACGATGTTCAGTAGAAGCAAGATATTAAGGGTCCGTATAAAGGAGCACCGCTGTGTGTGTATGTGTATGTGTATGTGTATGGTATGTGTATGTGTATGTGTATGTGTATGTGTATGTGTATGTATATGTGTATGTGTATGTGTATATGTGTGTGTGCATGTGTATGTGTATGTGTATGTGTATGTGTATGTGTATGTGTATGTGTATGTGTATGTGTATGTGTATGTGTATGTGTATGTGTGTGGAGAGAGAGGCGGGAGGAGAAGGAAGAGAGGAGAGGAAGAGGGTAAAGAGGAGGGGAGGGGAGGGGAGAGGGGCGCCCGAGCGACAGAAAGGAACCGACATAAACACACACAGGCACGTGGGGGAGAGGAGATGTACGTCACATTTGCCGTACAGTCGTACCAGGTGCTCCTACCTGGCTTGCTACACTGAGGGCAGCTGAGCGGATGCACGTGGGGAAGAGCTCGGCGGCGAAGGTGAGTCCCACGGCCCAGGCGCCCGAGCAACCCAGCTTGCCAGCCATGGCAAATACCACCTGGGAAGGGGGGAAGGGGGGGAGACCATAGCATGCGGGGGGGTGGGAGAAGTGGACTGCTGCCGGTGTGTGTATGTGTGTGTGTGTGTGTGTGTATGTGTATGTGTATGTGTGTGTGTGTGTATGTGTGTGTGTGTGTGTGTGTCCTGGAGGTTTGAAACTGCCGGAGGGAGTGCGGCGTGATGAAGAGTCATCAACTCGGGGGAGGAGGGGTAGGGAGGAAGAGGAGGAGGAGGAGGAGGGCTGTGTTTGTATGATCCGCGGCGGTGGGGTGCAGCTGCGGGAAATGGCCATGTGCGCGTTAGGGGCAGTAGGCGACCTGAGCACCTCCTCCCCACCTCATCTCAGATCCACAGGAAGGTAGGTGAGCCGCTACGCACACACCGCATTCTACTGACACATCATCACCATCATCATCACCATCATCATCACCATCATCATCACCATCATCATCACCATCATCATCACCATCATCATCACCATCATCATCAACACCATCATCATCAACACCATCATCATCAACATCATCATCAACATCATCATCATCAACATCAACATCATCAACATCATCAACATCATCCCCCATTACGCGATCTCTTGTACTGCCCCACGGCTGCCTTCGGGCTCCCGTATTTCACCTCACCTCCAGGGGGAGGTGAAGCCGCGATGGGCCCCCCACTGGCACCGCCATCGCAGCAGCACACACACGCACTCGCACACACACACACACACCCCTCGGCATTAAGCCACACCTCTACCTGCAGTACACCCCCCGAGGTGAAGGCGCAAGCAAGACTCGCCACACCCGCCAGCGCAGTGCCGGCGGTGATGGCTGTACGGCGGCCCATGCGGTCTGTCGTAGCCGCCAGCAGGAGGTACCCGGGCAGCTCTGCCGCCGCCGTCAGGAAGAAATTGAGGTGAAGAGATCCCGCCACGAGGGAGCCCAGCGCCAACGTCACGCCGTAGTACGACACAGATAAAGCAAACAGAACAAAGCAGGTCGACAAGAGCAGGCATCGCGTCACCGGGTGAGCTAGTACGGCAAAGAGGCCGGTGGTGGCGACGGCAGCGGTGTCGCCGCCGGCGCCGGCGCCGGCGCTGCTGCCGCCGCTGCTGCCGTCGTCACGTTGTGCCGCTACCAGCGGCGCCGTCTCCTCTTCGGCCGCGCAGTCAAATTCATTCGTTGGTGAGGGTGACGTCGCTGTACGGCAGTAAGTACCGCCACCTGGGATTTCTGTTATGACGGCGGCGGCAGTGGCGCAGTATTTACCGCTGCCGTTGCCGTTGCCGTCGTCGTCCCCTCGGCCGTGTTGGAGGTTCGCGATGGGGCCGCCGGTAAGAGCCCCATCCTGATGATGATGGTGATGTGCATATTGAGCATGAGGAAGGTGGTGGTGCTGGTGGTGGTGTGTTGGCGTTACCAGGTAGATCGCGCCGCCGGGGGTGCACTCCAGGGGCGGTGGCGACCGGACCCGGTTGATTCGTGCCACCCATAGGAATGCGGCACGGGCCTTTGTGGGGCGGAGGAAGAGAGGGGGGAGAGGGGGACGAAGGGTAAATGGCTAGGGGGGAAGATGAGGAACATGAGGGAGCAGTGCCGGCACACAGCACCGCACCCCACCCCCACTCCACCCCACTACGCGGAGGGGCACAGAGGGGCGGAACCAGATCAATTGCTGCGCTGCGGTGCTAATTGCGAGAATGGCAGCGACGGCGACGAATGAGCAAAGAAGAACGGAGAGGAGGAGATGGCGCAAGGAGAACGTTTCGCAAAGCGGACATCGGAACGGACATCGGAATGAGAACAACAAGTAATTTTTTTTATTAGTCTTTATCCACTATTCCTTGGACTGCAGAGCGGGAAAGCGGCAGACGAGGCTTTCGTCGGGCACATAAGAGGTCTTCGGTCCCACCGCTTTCGTCGGGCACATAAGAGCCGCAGGCTTCTTTTTCTTTTGGAAAATTTCTCAGCAACTGCTGTCTTGCCCGAGTGGTTAAGGGGGTGGACTTGAAATCCACTGGGTTCTCCCGCGCAGGTTCGAATCCTGTAGACAGCGATTTATTTTTAAATCCGCTAAACAGAACTCGTTTAAATTCATATATATATTTACATTTAAGAAGAAATGTACCAAGGTTCTCGGGAGAGTGAAATTATGTCGAGAGCTGAAATGAGGGATTGCGTCACAGCTGATCAACCGAGATTCGTACGCTGGATTGGGGGTATTTGCGTAACCCTCTGTCTCTGCGGGTGATCGGTTGAAAGGACGAGGATGACGTGGGTAGTTCTTCCCTTGCCTCGGTTTTTGAGTGTGTAGAGGAGGCCCCCGAGTAGAGCCCCTGCCCCCAGTGGTGTTTTCTCTTTGATCTTGTTTTGGCGGTCCAGAGGGAAGAGACCGCGCGAATAGGCTGGCCAGGTGAAGTGGGGGCAGATAGCCTGTTTAGGGTTCCCGGAGGTGGTGTGGCGCCTCTCGTGCGGCTCTCGCTTAGTTCGATTCGCAGTCTTCTGCGCCGCTGTGTTGCCTAGCCAGGGGCTGGGAGAGCGTCCCGGTTGGCGTGAGTGAGGGTCGGAGGTGCGCGCGGAGGAACAGACGGACGTGGAGCCGCGCGCCCGCCCCTGTGATGTGTTTCGGCCCCCGGTCAGGGCCCCCGGTGCTCTCGGTCCTTTCTCGGGACGAGCCGCCCACAGTGTAACACCCAAACAACAACAGCAACAACAGCAACTACAGTACCGTTACACCACCAGTCGAAGCGGGAGAGGGTCCCGGGCGGGACGTGGGGCGGCCGGAGCGGCATTCATTGCAGTACAACCCAACCAACTGCACGACACTAACCACCCACTCCAAAAACGCTCTCCCCACCCGTCCTCCTCCCAAAACACACACGATCACACACAATCGTCAAGACCCCTAGAGGGCAACTGACCTGATTCGCCTTGCCATGCAGCAACAGCCACCTGGGGGACTCGGGAACCAGCGGCACCAGCAGCAGTACGGCAGCACATGACGCCGCCACCGCTAGCGTAAGGCCCCTCCAGGGGGGGAAGGCCAGGGACAGCCCCACCAACATGAACTCTCCTAAAATGAAGAACGACTGCGTCAACATCCCTACGGGGCGGCAGAGGGGGAGGGCGGGAGGCAGGGCGGGAGGCAGAGAAGCAGGGAGACATGAGATATTGAACTCGCAGGGCAGGGCTTAATGACTCGGTGTGCGTTCGTGTTGCGGCTCGGGGTCAAGGGGGACGCGCCGATGAGGGTGAGGGATGTTGCTGCACGCATGCACACTCCCACACACACCCTCAACCACCACACCCACAGGCAGGACTGCGGGTCCAGATAAGCACCCGGTCCGTGGGGCGCCCTGGCGGCTGAAGAAAGAGGCCAAAAGCGGCTGAAGAAAGAGGCCAAAAGCGGCTGAAGAAAGAGGCCAGCGGCTGAAGAAAGAGGCCAAAAGCGGCTGAAGAAAGAGGCCAGCGGCTGAAGAAAGAGGCCAAAGCGGCTGAAGAGCGGCTGGGCCCAGGCCGCAGCAATGTGGCTTTGCTACTGCCGCTATTGCTGCTGCCAATACCAATACCACTACCACAGCTGCTACAGCTGTCTACGACAGATGGTCAACCGCCAGCGGGCCCCCCACACACACAACACCCAACCTGCCTCTTACCCGGCGGCCGTGCTGGGGGTAGCCGCACCACCCGACTACCCAACCACCTAGCCCTCACATAACCAAACCACCACAACCGATCGCAACCGCCTTAACGAATGCCCCGATTGAGGGGCGCTGCGCCAAGTTCCGTACATAATGGATCCCACAAACCCCAGGGACCCCTCTCCATTACCCCCCACGCCCCCATGCAATCCCCCAGCCCCGATCCTCTCCTCCCGCAGCCCTCATCAACCATACACACACACAGTCACACTCACCTGATGTACCCCGCCACTCGGGCCCCACCGTTTCCGTGGCCAGCACGTACCCCCCCAGCGACTGACCCGCACACAGGGCCCCTGAAACACATCGCAACACCAAGTGCAGCCAGTAGCCGCCGCCGCCGCTGCTACTGCGGCTGCTGTCGCCGCCGCCGCCGCCAGCGCCTGACGCAGTGCCGGTGGCCTCTGCGGCGGCGGCCGTAGCAGCCGCCCGGGCACCTGGTCCTGTAGGCACGAGCGGCGAGGCCGACAGTGCCGTAACCACCGCCGTGGCGGCGGCACATGCGGTCATAGTGCTGCGGCGGCCGTGGCGATCAGCCACCCGGCCGAAGACGCCGTTCCCAGCCATGAAGCCAGCAAAGAAAAGCGTGTCCAGCAGGCCTGCCTGTATAGCAGCAGCACCATCGGTTGTACGGTGTAATCAACTTTCAGAATATATGGTCCATGGCCTCCAGGCTCGTGCGGCACTTGTAACTTGCATAGCAGCAGCAGCGGCAGTAGCGGTTGTAGCCTCATCGTTATAGCCTCATCGTTATAAGGGACAATTACCTGATGATTATAAATAGGTCGTAGCTATAGCAGTGGGGAGATACAAGGAATTCACTCGACGTACCTTCCATGCCTGACCGCATACTAAGTTGTATTCGCTGCTCAGGGACATCTCCGGATTGTTCCAGATGTACTGAGATGGATTCAAATCGCAAAAGCTCTGTGCCGCTGTAAGCCGCTGCGAGTCGCTGGTGTTGGTTGTGACAGGGATGGAATTGGCGGGACGGCCCACCTCCGCGCCGGCGGGCGCAGTGCCCACCTCCGAAGTCGCGGAGGATGTAATGGCGCTTGCTGAGAGCTGTTCATTAAGGAGAGTCATACACGGCGAGTCGGCGGCATTGGCGCAGCGCCAGGCGGGTGGACCTGAGCCGGCTAGCGGGTCAGCGTACGTAAAGGTCATTTGGAACATGAGTAGCGATGAAGTCATGTATGCAAAGCCCCCGATAAAGAGCGCCAGGGCTTGGGCGGGCCCGAAGCCACGCCACCCAAGCTCTGTTTTAAGTAAATCGTCGACGGAGATAGGGTCGCCATAACTCATCCTAAAACCGTAAAGGACAATTTACATTTTCATACAGGAAAATTGGAGATTCCGCAATTGATACAAGTGATTGGGGAAGGTGATATGACAACCTGCCACGTAAAGCCGCTCCGAAACAACGAACAACGCGAAACGCTTTGCCTTTGTGCACAAAGTTGTTTGCTGTCAAGAGCTTCCTGGTTTAATTTAAAATATGTCACGAAGTCGAATCCGCCCTGCAATTCCTGGTGGCCACATGGAACGCTAAGGCTACGCAGCCGAGGGCAAGCGGCTTATTGCTTAGACGATACTTTAACCATTTGAAGTAGCTTGTGGAAGAGTATTAAGGTTTTCATTATTGGTTCTTATCGTAACCAAAATGCAACAGCCCTACTCCAGCGTGGCCGGCGGTCCTCCACTGCATGGGCCCGTCCAACACATGCAAACGAATGCCCGTCCACTTTATACCCTTTCCCCGTCTAACGGTCGTCGCCTTGAACCGCATGCGAGGTATTGCATTTGTCTTTCATCGGTCCAGTTCAGCAGTCCAGGCCTGATCAAGCTGTAGCTACCCTTACCTAAGGTTAAGGTTAAGATTCAGCTGCGGGATGCCGCAATCACCTCAAGCAATGGTTGAGCGCAGCAGCAGGGTAGAACAGCTCTCTAGGAACCCGTGTGGCACACGGGGCATTGCTGATCGGCAGCATTGGTTTGTACGCGAAGATTGTACGCGAAGACTCGTTAACTTAATGTGATGTGCGTTGAGATTATATACGTGTCGGAACGCAGGACGCGAGCCAGACAGGATATTCGGGGGCAATATGAAACTCAGCAGGCCATTCGGTGCGCCAGGGTCCGAGAGCACGGCTGCATATGTGGACGCGCGCACTGCATGACCGCAAAACAGACGCGGGGTACCGTGTATAATCTTATTCATTACTCCATAGATTCTTATGATAGGACGGAGAGAAGGAAAAAGAAATGCGGGCGGGGTTGTTTCTGTAAACCTCCTTACTGAAACTCCTGCTCAAGCGGACAGGCTTTGATGCTGCGTGCTAGTTGCTGCAGCAAATCCTCCCGAGGTGGTGGCGTGGTCACACGTTTTAGATGACAAAGTGCCTGGCATTCCCTTTTTTTTGGACTTGGTTTACGGCAGCTTTGAGTACGAAGTGTAGATTGTTGTTGACTCCGCTGGTCTATGGCCTTCGCGTATGAATGGACCGCCAAGGAACAAGAGCACACGCAGCTTGAAGCGCCAAAATATCTACTGACATATGGCTTGAGGTGGTGACAGTAGGGCTGCGAGATGGCGGAAGGCTACATAGCGTTCCTAGAAGGCGAGGGCCTATCATCGGTACCCGATGAAGTAAGGTTTGTTAGGCTTTCTTTGTGGATAAGGAGCTGCTCCGCGCTGATGCCGGTGGCGCGCTTGCGTGCATACGCAGGTTCTCCAGCGGCCAGACTGCACAACCTTAAAACTTGGGCGCAATCAATTTACGGTAAGTTTATAAACTATGCCATATTTTGCTCGACGTTATAACATTGCTCGAATGCCGGGTTTGTGCAGGCCCTTCCGTTGGGAATCTTTCCCAGGCTGCCGAACTTGGTTCTTTTAGATTTGTCAAAGAACAAGCTTGCAGGCGTCCCAAATGATATCGCGACGTGCAGGTTTGTACGCCAAATTGCGCTGCTCTGTGCCTCTTCGGCCTTGCTTTCTGCAGCAGCCCTTGCTTGCTATCCGTATAGGTCCATCAAGACTTTGCTTCTTGGACATAATAGCTTAAAAGTCATCCCGCCCGGCGTCTTCCTGCTGGCGGGCCTCGAGCAGCTCGACTTGAACCATAACAGACTAACCGACGCTAGCGGACCCTGGTACCATCTCAGCTCTCTTCAGGTGCGCATGAACGTATGCAAACAAAACCATAGCGCTGATGTTTTCAGGAGAAGGGGCAAATACAGCCGCGTGCACGGCTTTAATACGCACGAGGCCGTATCAAGCACATCAAGCGCATAAAGATGCCCTGTCTACAATTTGCTGTGTAAAGCTACCGCGGCCGTTGACATCCCAAGCAAGCCTGGTCTCCCCCACGCAACCAAGCACCACCGCCGCCACAGCAACAGCCGTCGAGACCACCACTAGCGGCCTCCGTCACAACGCCGATCAGCACGTACGTCCATCTGGGTCACAACCTTCCACGCACCGTTTCCCCTCCCCTTCCTTCTGTCCTACCTCACCTAGGCAGCGGTACACATCTTCCCCACCCCCCCATGAAACCTAAACATCCCTCACACTCCGAAACACATTCCCCTGCCTTGTCTGCCTGCCGCCGCCTTCACTGCTCCTCCTCCTCCTCCTCCCCAGTCCCTCGACTTGTCGCATAATGACCTGCGGATGCTCCCCCCGGACATTGGTTGGCTGCCTCTCGCCTCCCTGGAGCTGGGGGGCAATGACAACCTGAGGGTGCCGGAGGGGGTCATGGCGGGGGGCTTCAGGTGCGGGCGGTAGGGGCTGGCGTTGGGGGGGTTCATGGGCGGCGAGGACCGGGGAGAGTTACATTTGCTTTATATTTCTCGTGCTTCGCCTTGCTTTCCCCCCTTCTCCGCCGCAGCTATGACCACCTTGGCCTCGGGGTGCGAGGAGTCTGCAATGCTAGCGCCAGCATTGCTCTATCCACTCACTGCTTTCCCGCCCGTCCCTATAGCCCGTTCCTACACCCCTGCATGATGCCCTTCTCTCCCATGACCGCCTTCCCCCATACAGGGCGGTGATCAGCTACCTCCAGGTCATATGCGAGCAGCACCGGCTGGTGGAGCAACACCTGGACAAGTTTGCGGCGCCGGCGACTGAGGGGGAAGGGGGTGGGCCGCTCAGGGTGAGGCAGCGGGCGTGCGGGTGTGTGTGTATACATGTCGTACAGGGGCAGTGTTTCGTGCTTACGGTTTCTTTCTGGCGGGGCCAAATGCGGTCCTGAGTGCCCTGAGTGGCGTTATTGTGCATTCGGCGGGGTTCGGTTTGGAGTGAGAGAACTTGCAAAGGTTTAATGATAACATTGCTCAGGCTGGGTCGGATTTCATTGGCGTGCCTTGGGTTTGGTCAGGAAAAGTGGGCTGGTTAGTAGTCTGCCAGCACAAAGACGAGCGCCAGGACCGCCTGCAAAGACGTGGCGGAGCAAGGAGGAATACTCCCCTCCAAATCATACAATTCTTTGTGCATGGAGGTAAACTGTGTAAGTGGAAGCTAAATGCAGAATGCAACGGAATGTTAACTGCCAAAGTCCGAAGGGCACGGGAGTGGGAGATAAGGGTTTTGCCGGTCGCGATGCCGGCCGCGCATGTTCCTGGTCCAGTGAATGCTACCTCCTAGTTTGCATGTTGCCCTATACATTCCTTCCCGCATCCCCTTCCTGCCGCCCTCCAAACCACCCCCTCAGGCCCGCCCCGCCGACCCCCACACGCTCTCTCATCTGGTAGCCCGGCGTCTGGGGGCCGCGGCGGTGACTGGTGTGCTGGATGTCAAGTACGTGGGCACGGAGGCGGCGCTGGCGGAGCTGTCCAAACTACAGGTGGGGCTGGTGGGGCGTGTGCCGGGGGGCGGGCGGGAGGCCTTTGATAAGGGAGAGGGGGAGGGGAGATGGGGAGTGGAGAGGAGAGGAGAGGGCGCTGGGGAGGGTGGAACGGGCCTTTTATGTTGGTGGTGGGGCTGGTGGGGCTGGGTAGGTGAGGGTAGGTGGGTAAGCGCGGTCGCAGCGTTTTTCAGTTGGCCCTTCTGTTCGGTCACGGCCCCAAAAGGGTCAAGCTTCAATCGGTCATGGCTTTGTGTAAGCCGTGTGCCCTGGACCCAGTGTTGCCAAGTCCCGCTTCTTTGTACACTCAATTTCAAACCAATCCAAGACATGTCCCATGGAAAAATGCAGGCAGTCTACGTGGCCGATGTACGGCACAACGGCTGGAGTTCCGTACCGCCTGAGGTGTTAAAGCTCAACGGCCTGGTGGTGCTGAACGCCTCAGATAACGACATTGAGTCCCTGGCGGAAGGTTTGTGTGTGGGCGGGATGAGAAAGAGAACTGTTGTTGTATATCCTGTAGGGTGTATCATCATCACGGGATTTGACATCCACCGATCGGTATTTTCCTGTGTCCTCACGATGCATCAAATAGGAAGATGAGGAGGTGTGTGCCGCGGAAAGGCGGACTGGGCGGGGGTAAAAGGGCCCCAAGGGGGAAGGGGCCTGTGTCTAGTTGTACGCTCCAGGGGGGGGAAGGAGCGAGTCGCCGCAGAGTTGCGTCGCTCATCTACCCGTGACTTTAGGAAGGTTGATAAGAGGTTGAAATGCAGCCAGAGAGGTGGTGATATGGACCTTTGGAGCGGCCGTTGGAGCGCATGGTTGCGATCCCTCTTCCCTCTTCTCTTCCCTCGCCTGGAAGCGCGGCGAGGTGGCAGCGTGGAAGGGAAGGGCGCATGGCAGCGTGGACCCCGGTCTTTGCAACGCAACACGCGGCGTCCCTTCCCCGCAGAGGTTATCTTGGAGCGCTTCCACTGCTAGGATGGCGAAGTGATAACAAGCGATAGCAAGCAGCCGCGGCGGTAGCGAGCCAGAGATCGTTAAAAGAACTGAACGAAAACCCTATCATCCTTAAGGGGATGAAGACAACCCTAGACCCCATATTAGCGCGAGTTGATTACTCGAACATCTGCCTTACCCCGCCACCTTCGCACCCCCCTTGCACGTCCCCCCCTCCCAGGCATCACGCCGCAGCACCTGGGGGTCCTCAACCTCTCCTTCAACCGCCTCGCCTCCCTGCCCCCGGCACTGGGCGCTTCTCCCGTGCTTCAGCAGATGTACCTGGCCAACAACCGCCTCACCGACCTGCCCCGCACCTTTGCCTGTCTGCCCATGGTGGACCTCTTCCTCAGCGAGAACCTGTTTGAGCGGGTGCCCGTGGCGGTGCTGGGCATGTCGCAGCTGGCCAAGCTGTCCATGGCGTGTTGCCGGCTGAGGGAGGTGCCGGATGCGCTGGGCAGCGTGGCGACGCTTAAGTAAGGGGCGGGGAGGGGGGGGGGAGGGCAGGGGAAGGGAGGAAAAGCCTTGTGAGGTCATTGTTGTAAGGTCATATCGGGCTTTTGGTTTCTGAGCTGGTTACGCTTTGGGTTATCTGATGTGTACGGCTCACACACAATGGGTACGGCTCACACACAATGGGTGGAATGAATTTAGGATGCATGCTGAAAGGGCGGCTGGTAATACCGCCTCCTCGTCCTCCTCTGACCTATCATCTCATCATCCCCCCCCACCCCACACCCACCCCAACCCCCACCCCACCCCAACCCCGTTATGTGTCCTCCAGGTTTCTCGATCTGTCGTTCAACCAGCTCAGCTCCCTGCCGGACGGCCTGTCTCGCCTCACCGCCCTCAACGCGCTCAACGTGTCCTTCAACCCGCTGACCGGGTTTCCCCCCGTGCTCACCACCATCACCGGACTGCTGGAGCTCAACCTGGATCACACAGGTAAAAGGGGGGAAGTGAGGGAAGCGGGCTGGGGGTGAGGTGGGAGCCAGCTGGGGAGGCTGGTCGGCTGAGAGATGAGGCTGCCGCCCACCCAATCCTCCCCCCCCGCCCAGTATTGCTCTTATTTTGGAGTAGTCGTCTATGGTTTTTCCTTGTTCTCGTCATTCGTCTGTGTTTCGTCAATCGTCGTAACCCCCAAGCACCTGTTTTAACGTTGTTGTCCGTCGGCTGCGTCCCGTGGAGGCGGGGCCCTGACAGCTCCCAGATCTCACTCATCATCATCATCATCTACCCCTCACCACGTCGCCTCATTCCCTTTGGGGTTTTTTTGCTTGTAAAATGTCCCACCCCACACACCCACTCTTACATCCCCGCCACCTCCGGCATTACGTTGCTTTCCTCCGGAGCGAGGGCGCTTCGTTGCATCACATCCTGCTGCACTCACGTGTGGTAGTGGTAAAACTTAGCCAGAGACGATACGGATGGGTTTACAGAGTTCCTTTTCACGAGGTTGAATAAATTTATTGATATTTCAGGATATTGTTGTTCCCGCCACCCTTACCCCCCCCCACACACACACACACACCGTCCGTCCCCTCCTCACCCCCCCCCACCAGGTGTGCAGACTGTTCCTGAGGGGCTGGGTGAGCTGCGGAGGTTGGAGGGGCTGCAGCTGGAGGGCTGTCCACTGCCGGAGCCAGCAGCCACCCTGTATGCGGCCAACCCGCTGCTGCTGGTGCAGGTGGGGGAGTGGTGTGTGGGAGGGGAAAGGGGGAGGTGGGTGACGTTTCATCACCACCACCACCACCACCACCACCACTACCACCATGTAATATTAGATTACACCAACACCAAACACCCGCCTACCCTCCTACCCTCTTAGCCGGTGCAGCACACTATCCGTCACGTGCCCGCTGAGGGTCCCGTGAGGCCGCATCTGTTGATGTTGTTACAGGGTGGTTAAGCTTCACCAGCGGCCCCCTTTCCCGAGGCAGCTCCTGCTCTCCCCTGCTAGAGGGGCACCCTAATCCATCTGTTGTTAGGTGTTAGGGAACCTGCCTTGCTGACACCCCCGATACCCCCTGCCTTGCTGTCCCTTTTCCGGCCGTACCTCTTGTGTCGTACATATGTCAGGTTCACAACACCGCGCTGACCTCCCTGGACCTGTCGGGACTGGGCTTGGAAAAGGTACGCACCACCCGCATACGGCAAATGTGCACACGTGCGATAACGAAAGCAAAACTGGAGATGGGATGGCGATGGGTGTGCGTGCGTGTACGATGGGTGTGCCAATCTGACCTTTTCGTCCCAAACATGTTCTGTACCCAAACATGGAATACGGGGCACACACACATACACACAACGCACGGGTAGTACAAGCGCACTCACAAATTTCCCATTTTGACTATAATGCACCATCAGGCACTACGATCACACATACACACACATCGCCCCCCCTTCCTACCCTTCCCGCCCTTCTCCCACACCCCGCTCAACCCCCAACCGCCAACCCCCAACCCCCAACTCCACACAGATCCCGCAGCTGTCCCGGCTGGTCGGCCTGACCGCCCTGGACCTCTCCCGCAACCGCTTCTCCCGGCCCCCGCCCGAGCTGGTTCGTCTCACCGACCTGCACGCCCTCAGTCTGCGGGACAACCCGCTGGCGCACCCCTTTGACGTGCTGCTGGAGGCCCAGGGCGATTTGGCGCTGGTGGACCTCATTGACCCGGAAGCAGGTTGGGATAGGGGGCTGGGGTGGAGGGTGGGGGATGCCGAGGAAGGGTTGGGGTTACCGTACCACCGAAGGGTTGGGGTCATTGGGGTCACCGTCCGTGTGGGTGGTGAGGTGAGGTGAGGTGAGGTGAGGTGTCAGGTGAGGTAATTAGAGATCTGGAGGGGTTGAAGAGCTGCTGCTAGAGGAGGAGTTGCTATAGGCGTTCCGCGCCGGGTGCACATGGGGTGCCACCTCCCCCAGCTTCACTGCTTCACTGCGGCTCGTCGTTCCCCCTTCCCTCCCCACCAGTTCTCCCCCCCATCCCACCTACACATCCCATCTCCCCCCGCCCTTCCCCCTCCCCTGGTACACTCTTGCCCTGGCAGCAGCTTTACTCGCTCGTGGTTCTTCGTCTTTCCCCCCCTCCCCCCTCTCCATCAGCTTCACTCGTTCGTCTCCCCCCTCCCCCCCACCTCCCCACCGCAGACAAGCTGGACATGTCGGGGTGCGGGCTCGAGTCCCTCCCAGCTGAGCTAGCCCCCCATGCGGGCAAGCTGACGCAGCTCAAGCTGTCCAACAATAACCTCACCTCCGGTCCCGCCTCCCTGCCCGAGTGGCTCACCTCGTTCGGTGCCCTGGCCACCGTGGTGCTGGACCGCAACCGGCTGGCGGAGCTGCCGGCGGTGCTGACACGCCTGCCCCGGCTGTCCATTCTCATGGCGTCATTCAACGTCATATCCAACCTGCAGCAGGACGTGCTGGTGGGGTTCAGCAGGCTCAAGGTGCGGGCGGGAGCGTCGGGTGCACCACGGTGTCATGCATGGTGACGTGTGTATGTGTATGTGGGGGTGTGTATGTGTATGTGTATGTGGGGGTGTGTATGTGTATGTGTATGTGTATGTTTGTGTGTGTATGTGGGGAGGAGGGGGAAGAAAGACGAAGAACCACGAACGAGTGAAGCTGCTACCAAGGAAAGAGTGTACAAGAAGCAGTGTGCGTGGGGGGGGGCGGGGGAGAAGGGAGATTTAGTGAACTGAACATGTGCAGAAGTGTGTGAGGCCCTTGGCAGCCCCGTTTTCGTCGTTGCCCTGTTTCTGTACGCTCGCTCGGCATTCTGAAGTTAAAGTGCCCACGTAACCCAGCAAGCCACGAAGGCTGTAACGGTCATAACGTCTGTTTCAAGGAGCTGAGCCGTGTGTTTAGGAGTCCGGGGGACATGATGTACGGCTATCCCTCAACGGCTGTTCCCTCCCTTCCCTTGGCCTGTGTAGGCACTGGTGCTTCAAAACAACCAGGTTTCGGAGCTGCCAGCCAGCATCTCCCGGCTCACTGAACTCAAGGTACGTTTAATTGGATTTACGGCGCATAACGTACGGCCATCGTACGAGTCAAGTTGTACCATCGTTTATACCACCGGGACAGTGCCTTTCTTCTCTCTAATCTCTTACACACATACATACATATACATACATACATATACATACATACATACATATACATACATACATACGTACATTCATACACCACCGGCTTTTCAGGACGTCTGACATCTGGACTGTGGTTTAAACTATTTCCATTTCACTCATCCTCGCGCCCTCCCCCCGCTCCTTCCCCCCTCCCGCTGTCGCTCCTCCTCTCCCCCCCCCTCAGGCTCTGGTGCTCTCCGGCAACCGACTGACCTCCCTTCCGGATGCCCTGTGCGGCTGCTCCGGACTGCGGCTGCTGGACATGTCCCACAACGGCCTCACCTCGCTGCCCTCGGGGATCGCAGCCCTGTCCAAACTCAAGTCGCTCAAGCTGTCCCACAACGAGCTGCCCACAGTGCCCAGGGGAATGAGCTGCCTGCTGGGCCTTACGGAGCTGCAGCTCGCGCATAACCCCCTGCCGCTGCAGGTGAGGTGGGGGAAAGGGGGAGGAGGTGGGAGGACGTAATGGCCCGTTGTGGTGCTGCTGGTGCAGCTGCTGCTGCTGCAAACGGCAAACGGTGCCCTGCAGGACTTGAAATAGCGTCGGCCAATGTGTAGCGCAATGGTTCTGTTCTGGCTGAGGAACGCGTCGCCTTTGAAACCTGCCAGCGACGGCCTCGGCTCGTTCTTGATGTCTACTACCACCCTACTACTAGTTCAGCTCGGTTTACCGTTCCGAGGTAAACGTAACAGTCGTGTTCAGTATCCTGTCTACCGCCCACCATGATCGCGCTCTTGGGGGGGTGGGATGAAACTCGGGTGCGGCCGCCGCCGTGCAGGGTATGGAGCTCAACGCCACCGGCGCGCCTGCTGTACGGCAAATGATAGCGGCGCTGCTGGCGGCCTGCGCTGCGCTGCCTGCCGCCATCCACGCTGCCGAGCTGGAGGCTGCGGCCGCAGCGCTAGCGGCTAAGGCTGCGACGGCGGCGATGCTGGCTGCGGCCGAGGAGGAGGAGGCGGCTGCGGCGGCGGGTGGCGGCGGTGCGGCCGAGGCGGAGGCTGAGGCGGCGGCGGTGATGGCTGACGTGGCGGCCCTGCGCGATGAGGAGGAGCAGCGGGCGGCGGCGCCGGCACCTCCGGGTCCCGCCAGCGGCGAGATTCGCACCTTGGAGGACCCCGATGCCATCCGTAAGCGCGTTGAGATGTTGCAGGTGCGGCGGGGACTTGGGCCGGGGGGGGGCCCGTGTGGGGACTGGGTGCTGGGGTTGGTGGTGCTGGGTGGTGGGGACGCGCAGGTGCAGGGAAGGCGGGGGATGAGGGGAGAGAAGGCGGCGGGGCTAATGGGCAAAGACGAGGACCCCGCTTGGATCCGGTGTGTGACGTGCGGATACGGACGTGCTGCTGGTTGTGAGTTTGTTTTTGTGCTGCTCGTCCGTGTTGCTCGCTCGTGGCGCTGTTGGCAATACTGGGTGATGGCTCCCTTTCTCCCCCCCCTTTTCCCCCTTTTCCCCTCCCGTGGCTGTTTCCGGTTGGCGTGGGTGTCCACACTCCCTCTCTCTCCCCCCCTCCGTCCCAGCCCAGCAATCCCCAATGGCGGATTTAAATTCGGGCGCCGGCAGTTGGGTCAGTGGTGTCTTGAATCACCATCATCATCATCACCATCGCCATATTACGATCCGCCTCCACTCGTTCATGGTTCATCTCCCTTCCCCCCAACCCATCATCCCCCCCCAACCCCCCAACCCTACCCGGTCACCCCCCCCCCCGCAGGAGGAGCTCAAGCAGCTCCATCCGGACACCAAGTGGCTCTACGTGGCCAAGCACCAGGAGACCATTGGCCGCGACCCGCTCAGACCCAAGGCAGACGCCTGGCAGAAGGTGCCCATCATGAACATACCCCGCATCATAGCCGCCATCAGCTCACCGCCGCCGCCACCGCCGCCGGGAGACGGCAGCAGCGCGGGCGGCGGCCTGACGGCCGAGGGCAAGCCTAAGCGGCCGCAGGTGATGCATCGTTTTAGGCGCGTTGTGGATCAGAGTACCATGGCCATGAACCTGCTCAACAGGGTACAAGACGTGCTGCACAACGGGCCAGGGGGCGGCGGCAGCGCTGCTGCCTCGGCGGGCCCTGCCAGTCCGGCCCGGGTGCCGTCGACGCCAGCGTTGGCGCCGCCGCCGTCGGCGTTGTCGTCGGTGCAGGCGGCGTCAATGATGCCGCCGGGAGTTATGCCGCTGCCGCCGGGGGTACTGCCCGTTGGGATTTTGCCGCCGGGCATGGCAAACGGGCAGTTGCCGCCAGGGTTTATGCCGCCGCCGCCAGGCATGCTGCCGCCGCCAGGGCTGTTGCCGCCGCCGCCGCCGCCAGGGATGATGTTCCCGCCAGGCATGCTGCCGCCGCCCGGCCTGGTCTTTCCCCCGGGGATGATGCCGCCGCCGGGCATGCTGCCGCTGCCCCCACCGGGCATGATGTTTCCCCCGCCCCCTCCGGGAATGGTGTTCCCGCCGCCGGGGATGATGCCGCCGCCGCCGCCTGGAGGAATGCCGTCGATGCCGTCAACACACGTTCGGAGATGAGGAAGGCAGGAGTGGACTTGACAATGGATCAATGAACATCGCTTTGCGCTGCTCGGCGGGGTGGCGGTGGGACGGCAGGATGATGATGATGATGATGGCGGTCCCTTCGAAGACCACGGCGTCGTATTCATTGTAAGCTGTTTAGACGGGTGTTTCAGAGCGCGGCGTTCTCGCACGCCCTTGCCTGTGTAATGTGTATGTATGTATGTATGTATGTATGTATGTATGTATGTATGTATGTATGTATGTATGTATGTATGTATGTATGTGTGTATGTATGTATGTATATATGCCCGTGCTTTTAAAGCGTACATGTCATGTGCGTGTATTTGTTAGTAGGGGTCGTCGCCTACGTCAATTGTCTGTCGATTGTCTGTCGGAAGAGGACATGGACGTGGCGTCATGTGTGTTATCCTAATTGCATGACACGGGGGCCCTGAAGGGAAAGCGAAACTCTGTAGGGGCGGAGGAGTTAGGACGAGGAAGAGGGAGGTGTCAGGAGTATATGGCGTCGTGCTAGTGGCCCAGTGTGTCATGGAACGGCGTGTGGCCCACAAGTCTTCGAAATGGCGGCCTATATGTGCCGAGGCTGCTGCTGTTGCTGCTGCTGCTTTTGTATATAGTATGCGGAAGGATGGCTGCGAGCTGGCTGAGATTGGCAGACGCGTTGTTGATGCGCTTGCGGTGGAAGGGGGGAGGTACTGGATACGAAGGAGGCTGGGGCGCCCTGTGACGCCTAAGAAATGGTGGGAATGAAGGAACAAATCGTCGTCGACATCTCGCCGTTGTTAACAGCGCTTTTGTGGTTTTGTGCGCAAATGGAGATGTGCGAAGAAGCGGATGTAAAGGGTGTGTTGCCGTCGTCGTCGTCGACCGTGCAGGGAATTGTTCTTTTTTGTGATTGCAATGTTTGCGACATGTCTGTCACAGAAGTTTTGGGCTGTGCTACGCTGCGAGTTGCTATGCGGTGCTGTGGTGTGGTGTACTGTCTTGTGCTTGTATGATTGATGCTCTGCGTTATGCTGTGTTGTGCTGTAAACGTAATGTTGTAGAGTGCACACTGTGCTATAAATGTGTAGTGTTGCGTTGTGCTTTTTAGGTGTACTGTGTGCTGCGGTGATGGCGTTCGTGCTCCTGCGGGCCAAGATGGCGACATGATGATGCGACTCACGGCCTCCGGACAACACATTTTACACTATGCTTGCCATGTCTACATGACGCCGCATCATCGCGACTTTTCTCAGCGTTCATGCTTTACCATTTGATGTCTGATTGGATGGACGGTTTCAGTGTGGGTGCGGTAAAACCCCAAGGTATCCGCCATCCATTACACGCACGCGGCCACACAACAAGCAGTCTGTGACAGAGGGCATTACGAGGTGGATACGTATACATCAGGGAGGAAGAGGTGGGGTTGTGCTGTTGCGGTGCTGGTGTTGGGGGGACCTGCCTTAGGCAGGTCCAAGGAGGAGGCGTCCTGTCTTGATGGCGCATACATTTATCCGTGTTCGGTGTACGGCATCCGGCGGCGGCGGAGGGCGCCGCGTGTCCCAAGATTGTTTCAGGGTTTCCTGAAGCAGAGGCCTGGGAAGACAAAGACCTAGGAGGGCACGCTGGGTGCTGGCGCGCGATGGCGTACATGTATTTGTGATCATAATGAGTGGTTGAAGTACTCAGCATCGGCATTTCCCCGGGGGGCCCGCTTTTGTTCGGGGCAGGGAGGGGGTAGGCGGCGTGTTTTTACGAGCTGAGGCGGGGTGAGTTCGTGGCGCAGTAAGAGCCTAACCGGCACTGCAGGTTGGTTGCTGCCGTCGGCCTTAGCCGCAGCTTGCAGGGGTTTGGGGGGCGTGAATGGGACCCTGCATGTGTCCTGTGACTTCAGACTGGATGATGGCGGCAGTTATTAAATGTTTTCATCTGTGCGACCCCGACCTCCCCGGGCCCGGCCCCGGGCGGCTGCCCATGCAGCAGCGCTTCGGCCTTGCCTTTCCGCTTGTGGATGTGTGCACCATGTACCTATGTACGTACACGTGCACACACAGCACGAGCTTGCCTTCCCACCTTTTTAATATTCCGCGCTGCAGGTCCGGTCCGGTCTCTGGCGATATTGACGATTGCAGTATGGCCTAAAGATGGTGTGATGCTGATGACGTGGTAATAATAGCAGTATATCACTCCATATGACTTGCGATTAATATATGTCATATCAAGAGATATCTTCTTTGGTTTATGCGGTTGTGTTCGGAGGAAACATGGATCTGTGGCTCTTTTGACTTTCATCGCGGCTTTGGGTGCGTGTGTGGCCTTCCTTGGAAAGAAGGATCAGAGATGAGTGGTGGTGGGGGGGGGGTCGTGGCATCATTTGGGCTGGCCGGGTGGCTGGCTGGCTGGCTGGCTGGCTGGCTGGGTGCAGGCGAGAGGGCTAGGAGCGTTGGCGTGCGGCAGTGGTGACGGCTTGGGGTTGGCGCCAAATGTATGTATGGCGGTTCCCAGCTATCACTATTTGGCACGGAGGTTTCTTTTTTCATTTATTTGCGTGTGCATTACGCACTATGCTGGATGAGGCACCGGCGAAATGTATCTGGTTTCTGCTGCCGCAATGGATAAGTAAGGTCCCGGTTGTTGATGGGAAATGTGGGCTTGCAGGTGGGGTTTTGGCAGAGCCACAGCCTGCGAAAGGATGCGATAGTTTGCTGGAATTGTGCCCTTTTTTCATGCTATTCATGCGCTCTGGATCGCGCATTAAATCATACTGTGTTTTGGATTTTGCCCTGCCGAAGTGTGTTTTAGAGGACAACACCAGCGGCAGCAGGGTCGCCGTTGCTTTTGTCTTTGGCAACTGTGTATCTAAGAAGAATAATGTAACTCTTTAGGGATTGGGTGCGGTTGTGTCTGCGGTTATCCGATTCCCCGGTAACAACAGAATGAACCGCTGCTAATGTCGAGGCTCGTCAAGTACAACATCGTAACATTACCCCGTCCCTGCATCTGTAGTAAAACCAGCACGCACACACGCACACACACACACATCCGTCGTCGCGTTCAGGATGGGAAAATGTTTTCGCCGAGTACCTCCACGCACTCAAACCTTCGGCAGCGCGGGGCGGCAGGAAGGACCCTTTCTTCCCCCTTGTGCTAAATGGGGCTGTATGTGTGCGCATTTAACTACAAACCGCTCCGCAACGCATCTCATGGAGCCCGCGGTCAAGTACTCAGCCGCTGAGTCAACAATGAGTCATCATACACACTCCACAGACTCCCCTCTTCTGGTAAAAGCTCAAACCTAGCAGCAGCCCTTCGAGAAAAAAGGACGATAGCGCCGCATGTGTTGGCACACAAGCTCAAAAATATTTCCGTCACCATAAAAATATGCAACACGAAAAAGTACTTAGTCAGGTAAGAGGAAAGCACGACGAACAGCAGACACAGTCAGTCCAACAATCTGCAGGAGCGCATCCTCGTCGCAAGCTGTGCGAATAAAGAAATCAACATAGATAGGTAGATAGATCGATAGAGAAAGAAGCGGCGACAAATGATTCGGAAAGAAACGCCCCTGGCTCAAGAGGGGCCACCCACAAGCATACTACCCCTGCGTTGTGCCCTCACGGGCGATCACGGACAGTGATGGCGAAAACCACGAAAAGGTCGGTTGGACCCAGGTAATCCGAGCCAGAGCCAAGCACTGGTAACAGTGGGGGTTGTTTTGAATCCATTAACCCGCACAGTAAACACATAGCCCACGGGGCCCGCGGTGCGACGCCTGAGCAACCCAACTCAACTAACTCAACCGCAAGCCATGGACTCGATGACAACAACCCCTACCTGCGGTCATCACATAGTCACTTGTCGGGTCTGGAGCTGCGGCTGGGGCTGATAACAGAGCCATAAGCACCACGCCTTGTCCCCCCGCTCCTTCAACAACACACCAAACCCAACGCGACGTACGCATTGACATTGAGGAGATCGCGGCGCAGGCGCCTCAGAGGCACTTAGCAATACGTTTATTGCATCGCAACGGAGACAGATAGGCAGACAGACAGACAGACAGACAAGGAAGGAGAGAATTCTATGTGTCAATACGTCCATATATCAGCTCTCCACAATCACCACCTATTCACCCACCTACACACCTACACATCCAGACGTTTTGCCGTTTCAACCAACCTCATCACTCCATTCGTTACGCCATCAGGCAGTGCTCGAGTACGCGCACGCATTGCTCGTGAGCCGCTTCCTTAACGTTCAAGCCCCTGGGCTGCAGCGGCGGCGGCGCTCACCGGCGGCGGCGGCGGCGACTACCTGGCTTTGGCCACGTTGTAATGCTAGGGCACCTTTATGTAACACCTGCTCGGTAGTACGCATCCCGTACAGTACCTGCGTAGTAGCACACACCCTGTACAACACCTGCTTGGCAGTACCTACTTTGTACAACACCTGCTTGGCAGTACGTACTTCGTACAACACATGCTCGGCAGTACGTACTTCGTACAACACCTGCTTGGCAGTACCTACTTTGTACAACACCTGCTTGGCAGTACGTACTTCGTACAGCACCTGCTCGGCAGTGTGTATTTTGCACAACACCTGCTTGGCAGTCCACGCCCCATACGACGCCTGCTCGGCGCTACGCACTCTGGACGGCACCCACTGCTCGACACCCAGTGCGCTGTCCCCACCCACTCACACACGCATTTTCCCCCATCTCTCTTTCCACTCTCCCCCTACAGCCCCCAAGCAGGATTCGCGACGTATTTCATCGCGGGCCCCCCCTTAGATCAGATCACTGAGCCACACTGAGCACACCATCGCCTGCGGCCGCTTTCCATTGCCCTTACAATTCAATCCCATAACAGCCACCATAATCCAAAATCCAAACAATATATTGAACTTTCTGCTTTGCTCTCCCCCCCAAACAACCCACACCCCAACCCCAACGCATAAGCACGCGCGATTCCCTCCATTGCCCTTTCCGGCTCCCTTTCACTTCTTTTTCCCGCTGCCCGGGTCGTTCATCTTGCTGATGGCCCCCGCCTTCTTCTTCTTGCTGAACGCAACGAAGCGGGGCTGCTGTACGGAGCCAGGTCGTACGGCAGGCACCACCGCCGCGCCGCCGCCCTTGGGGTTCTTGTACAGCCGCCAGGCTCGCTGCACCTGCTGAGCCGCCATCGTCTGGTTTGCGTAGCGTCCATCACATCCCATAAACAGGGTTTGCGCGGCGTTTGAGGGGGCTTTGAGCGATTTGAGGGCGACATGGTGCACATGGTTGCACACAGCTATTGCACACATAAACAACATACATGCATACATGCATACATGCATACACAACACGAATATAGATGGACACACATACAGATGCGCATTCACCATCCAATGAACAAGAAGGAGACCGCCTCCTGCCCCCACCCGCTCACCTTTTGCGCATCCTCATCCGGCCACACGAAGTCGAACTCCAACGTGGTTTGCGGAGTGGTGCCGTCCGCTGCATTGCCCCGCAGCACCGTCCACATGTTGACTCCCTGATTGACCCGCTTGGGCTGGTCGTCTGGGGGGTGAGGAGGGGAGGGGGGGGGAGGGGAGGGAAGGGGTGGGGAGGGGAGGGGAGGGAAGGGGAGGGGTGGGGAGGGGAGGGGAGGGAGGCGAACGGATCGAAAAAACACAGGAGCAGCTGGCGGCGGCGGGGGCGGCGGGGCGACCGAGCACCGCGGGTTGTGAGGGCCGCGTAACGTGTGGAGGTCAGTGGCACACAGCGGCACACCGACCAAGGGAGCAGCCATGGAAGCCAGGTAGCCAACTGCCAGCTGTCCCAACGCCCTGCACCGTTGCGTCTTTGCAGACGGTGTGCCGTACCCTCCGTTCGCCCACCTCTGTCCCTTTGCTCCTCGTTGCTGCTCTACTCTCCCCCCTTTCCCCCCCCTCCCCCTCCCCCTCCTATTATCTTTCATCATTTACCAATGGTGAGGTTCTTCCAGCACGGCAGGGGCGAGTCCAGCGACTTGTTGTACAGCTGCCACGCAAGTTCATGCTCGTCCTCCTGCGGGGCCACACAATTGCAGTACGATACGGCATAGAGCCGTCATTCAATACTGAGTCAATCACATTGCGGGGGAGCTCACCAAGGCCCTCTCCCCTCCCCTCCTCTTCCTTTCCCCCCCCCTCCCGTCCCTCACCTTGTACATCCTCAACCGGTAGTGCATGGCCGGGCGGTTCTCGTTGTACACGTTCATGTAGCCCAACCGCTGGCAGGCGCGGACCTGAACAGCGCACCGCGCACAAAGGGAAGGAAGGGGGGGAGGGTGAAGAGGGGCAGCCACGAATTCACGCCTCACACATACAAATACACATGTACATATGCCCCTACCAGCTTTCCGCGCCTTTTTCGACCTCTCCCATTTCTGCGCATTCCCAGCCCAGCAAGACCGCCTCCTTCACCCTAAACCCTGGAACCCTAAATAAACAAGGGGCCCGGGGCTCGGCCTGCCCCTCCTGACCTGCTGTTCGTTGGTAAGCGACCGCATAACGTCCACCCAGTGCCCGTCACGGTCCGTGACTCGAGCCCAGAACGCCGTCACCGTCTCCACGCGCTCATCCGTGGCGGTGGGAGGCAGCAGCTGCAACAGCTGAATCAGCTGCCAACACGTCAGGTAGTGCCGTACAGACAAGATCCGGATCGCCTCCACGTAAAGTCCCATGTCGCGCACGTACATCGGCGGCGGGCCCAACGGCGGTACGGCACGCGCTTTGCCGGCGACCTTGCTACCGAGGGCGGCGGCGGCGGCGGCGGCTCCGGCGGCGACGACGGAGCTCTGGTTGCTGCGCTGCGTCAGCAGTATGTCGCCGGTGTTACTGCCGGTGCCGCCGCCGCCACCAGTGGGTGTCGGCGATTCCCCTCCCCCCATGTACGACTCCCGGGGGCCGTACACGCTGCGCCGGAATGGCGTTTCAGGTCCGTCGCCAAACGTCGACGGCCGAACGCTGGTCGGTGTGTGCGGCTGTACGTACGATGATGACTCCCTGGGAAGCCGCTGCACTGCCGCCCCCGCCGCCGCCGTCGCTGCCCCGGTAATCCTGCTACTGCCGCTGCCCGGAGTCGCCGGCATGTCGGCCGCCGCCGCCGCCGCCATCTCCGCCGCTACCGCAGCGGCGGCGGCAGCTACGTCGCCGGTGCGGCCGCCGCTACCAACGACGCTGATGGCTGAGGGCATTAAGGCCGAATCCCGCCTAAGCGCTGCGGCGACTTCAGCGGCGGCGGCGGCCGCCGCCTCTGCCGCCGCCGCGGCCTCCGGGTCGTCCCGCTTTCGAATCTCGTGCGCAGCCTTCCAGAGGTACGACACACTGGCCGAGATGGGATGCTTGCGTGTCCAGGCCTCCCAGCGCCGCAACGCGCCGACGGCGGCGGGCAGCGCGGGGTGGTCGATGAGACGCGTAAGGCCCACGGGATCTAGCTCGTCCAGGTTCACTAAGTGGGAGACGAGTACGGCAAACTGCGCCCGGCTTAGGGAACGGGTGCCGGGTGGCGGGTGGCGGAGGTCCACGAAACACAGCTCCAAGATTCCCTCCTGGGGCAGGTAGCTGAGGGGGGAAAAGGAGGAGGGTCCAGTGCATGTGTGTATGTCTGTGTGTATGTCTGTGTGTATGTCTGTGTGTATGTCTGTGTGTATGTCTGTGTGTATGTCTGTGTGTATGTCTATGTGTATGTCTGTGTGTATGTCTGTGTGTGTGCGTGAGAGAGAGAGAGAGTGTGTGTGTGCGTGAAGGGCGGAAGAGATTAGAGGGAATTCCCTCTTGCCCCTACTTCGAAGTAGGGGCAAGACCCGGGAAAAAGACTTCTGAAGAACGACAGAACTTATGAGCGCGATTTAGGATACATACACATACACGCATGCATACATATAGACATACATGTATACATAGGCACATAGGCGCGTCAAGTCATGTCGCGTTGGCACTCACAGTTTGTGGGGGTCAGAGACGTCGGTTGGTAAGCCGTCCATGATGCAGGAGGTGAAGCAGACGCGGTTCGGATGCTGAGTCAGCTTGTTGTCGTACTGTTGGTTGTACTGCTGCAGTAACTGCTTTGCAACGCACTGATGGGGTAGCTGACTCAGCATCAGGGTGTAACGGCCGGTGGGATTCTCCGGGAAGAACATGCGGACGCGACCGAGACGACTCTCAACCTGTACGACACAGTCAACGGTTAATTGGTTACTCGGCTGTTGTTAGTTAGCTGTTGATGGTTGGTTAAGATCAGTTTAAAATCCGTTGGCACATGATTTTCCTCCCCGCGCTACCCCTGTCCCTCATCCGCTGCCCCAACCGAGCCCCTCATCCCCCATACTCCCCTTTCTTTGACCACCCTTCCTCCTTCCCTCGCTGGCCCCCCCTCCCTCTCTCTCTCACACACACACATATATACACATATACACATACACACATATATACAGACACACGCGCGGGCGTACCTCCATCGGCTTGTTTCCCTTATCGCGGCTTAAATAATCAAATCACACATCACTCTCTTAGCTACACACCCTGACTCCACCCTCCCCCACCTGCTCCCTACTGCACGGGTCCAGCTCCTGCAGCACCGACCAGAAGTTCTCGGTGTCCGTGAGCACTCCGAACGCCTGAACCACCGCCTCGGTGCGCATGTCGCGACTGTCGAAACAGCGCAACTGCCCCGGGGTGTGTGTGTGTGTGGGGGGGGGGATGGGGGGAAAATGGGGGAAGGGCGTAATTCGGGGATACAGGCAAAAACGTAGAGCGATGGGCGCAGTGTGTATGTGTGTAAGAGTGCGTGAGAGAGAGAGAGGGGGGAGTGTGTGTGTGTGTGTGTGTCAGAGAGAGAGAGAGAGAGAGAGAGAGAGAGAGAGAGAGAGAGGCGGAAGGTGATGGAGGAGGCGGAACATGCGAAAGAG